ATAAAGGTGGTGGGTTGGGGGTGGGGGTGGGGGGGGGGGGGGGGGGGGGGGGGGGGGGGGGGGGGGGGGGGGGGGGGGGGGGGGGGGTGGGGGGGGGGGGGGGGGGGGGGGGGGGGGGGGGGGGGGGGGGGGGGGGGGGGGGGGGGGGGGGGGGGGGGGGGGGGGGGGGGGGGGGGGGGGGGGGGGGGGGGGGGGGGGGGGGGGGGGGGGGGGGGGGGGGGGGGGGGGGGGGGGGGGGGGGGGGGGGGGGGGGGGGGGGGGGGGGGGGGGGGGGGGGGGGGGGGGGGGGGGGGGGGGGGGGGGGGCCGGGGGGGCCGCGGAAAATAACGCACGGGAGGAGCGCGGATGCCAGCAACGGGTTTTTTAGAAGGAGAAGAGATCGCAGAAGACCGCGATTGGAAAATATTCACGAGAAAAGATGTAACAGCAGTGCGGTTAGAGGAGACACTGAAATTGAGCCACGGCGCCGCGACGCGCAGGTGAGAAAAAGAAAGTGTACAACGTCACCAAACTCGCAGTTACCCCACTCTCTCCACGCCTTGAGGCACGAATCATGAACTTTACTCTGACTGGCAAATTTCAAATAATCACCCCAGAGAGTGGCAGTGCATGTATATAACTTTGGCAGCTCTTTTCGTACTAACAGCCACGCTTCTGGACGTTTTAATTCAATCAATACTGACGTTTTGAAGGCTTACGTTGGCAGTTACATAGAAAAAAAACGCTTCGTAACTCTATGCCTACAAAACGCCATCAGCGCAAGGATAATCAAAGGGAGCAGAAAGCCTAAGGTTCACCTCTGAACCGGGGTCACTATGGTAAGGAAAACAGCGTTCTCGTAGGTGCAGCGAAAACTTGGATGAAAACGTTGTCACCTGATAACATCGGAAATTTGCGTTACAACCGATTTCAACCGTTCACGCTCTCCTTCAAGATGTTGTAATTGATTGCATAGCCTTGTCTGCAAAATTTAGTGGTTTTCCTCTCTGCCACAAAGACACGCATAGAAAGTTGAGATCTCCGGCAAAGTTTCAAAGCACACCTTCTGACAGATCACTTCAGCAGTTTTCTCATGTGCATATTTTAGACAGCACGTCCTTCTCAGCCAGGGATGTCTTCAGTTGAGCAATTTCAAACGAGCTGTGAGAAGTAAATTGTTAGAGAAAGCTGCTGATTCAAAACTGAAGCACGGGTTCGCTTCCGAAATGAGACTCACTTTGTTTCACCGCCCGGAGCAATCCATGGCAAGCGTTCAGCCCAGTTCTTTTCAGCGTCAGCATCCTGTAATTAAGCAAAGTAACAAAATATTAGCATTGATGAGTGGTAATTCAGCCTTCTCCTTAAGTTCCATAATCTTTTGTTGGCCCGCGTCGATATTAACAACCGGTTTGTTCTTAATTTTCTTAGCTCGATCTGCATATCTGAAAGAAAATAATTCCGAGCTGCTGCTTCAAGAGCTAATGCTATAACAAACATGAGCGAATGTGGATTCAATGGAATCACTATTATTTGCTTGAAATGGACTTTGCATAAAATCTGTTTTTTTTTTCAATTCAATAACAGAACTGCAGAAGCACTTCTCTCTGGAATCTCATGGATTGGGTTGTTTTGCCAAGTAGATTTGATAATTCTATTCAAACCACGAAGACAAAAGAACTCTCTCAACAAAGGTGACCATTACGTTCAAATGTGCTCTACCACTCAGTCAATAGAATGCCCATTTACAACACCAATTAAGGAAAAATCTAACGGCTGCTGTGTACGACCCAAGAATAGTGTTCTAACGAAGTGATAGGTGATACAATTTATGCTGTAAATATGGCCTGCTTGATTGATTGCAGAAATGTCCAATTAGGCATGGAATCCATGTATAAATCCATAAATCCGCCGCTAAAATGGCTTATAATTGAACATATGGTTGGAGGAAGTAAAAATTTTAGATTTCTACAGGATGACTGGCAAATCATTGATGAAGCAAACCAGTGAAACTCTCGTTTTCGCGCAATACTCCGTAAATACGGATTGCGCTCTGAAAGCGTCTAAGATGTTTCACGCAATTAATGGCTGAAAGGGCTTATGTCAAAGTTTTCGGCCTTCTTAGGTAACTGTTCTCCCTTGCGCAATGAAGTAAAGTGGTAATGACTGTATTAACAACACCTCAATGTGCTAAGTGTTTCCTCAGCATTTGAATCCGCCGGAGAAATGCATGCAATCATAACTGTGTACGAGTTGCCTCCAAGAGAATCTTAAAAATGTTGCTTAGATCAACACACACAGGAAGAAAACTGCAAAGAAGCTCACCTTGAAGAAGCCGAGTAATTTTTGAATCTCTGTACGGTATGTGTCGATTGTTACCCGTTTGTTCTGATAAGGCAGATATGACGTTTCCCAGTGCAAGCAAACCTGCAATTTGTTACATAAAGCTCACTCAAGAGATACAACCGTAAGTCAAATTAGAGGAAACTGAGCACCTGCATTCTTGAAATGTGCAGATCTTGCCTACAATATTAGTTAGGGCAAAGAAAACACCGACCTTCGTTGATCCTTATCCCTTCCATCTTGCGCGTTCCCTCTGCTTGAGTTTTCTTCAAGCGCTCGGATCCCGCTAGATCGACCAGATGCAGCTTTGCAGTGAAACCGTTGTCCCTTTAAAGTCAAAGTTGACTGCGCAATTATGCGAACAAATTTACTTCGTACTCACTCCTCTCCTGTGGCCGTCTTCTCAAGTGAAATCGTGAATATTGCGTGCGAACGACTACTCTGAGCATTCATTGCTGTTTGACCTTTGCTTCTAAGAGATCCTCCCTTTTCTAGTTGTGACATGGTCTCCACCAGGTTACGAACCTGGCTTTTTGACAGCCCTTGCACCTTCAATTATCGCGATGAGAAAATAATTAATTAAGAAGATCCAGTAACAACTTACAAAAACGCTTCCTTCGTGTTCACGAACTTGAAGAGGTTCTCTTCCACCAGAGAGTAGGTCATGTACCTTTTCATCATATATTTCAAGCATAGATACAAACACCTAAACTACACGTCATAGTGCACAAAGTATGTTCCTTGTCATATAATGGTGCTGCTGATTTTTGTTCACAGACGGTTTGCGAACTGATAG